AGTTCTAACATATTTGCACCAGAAACTGAGCAAAACACATTTGTTGAGCTTTTGTGTTTTAATCTGGAGGACGAGAGCGTCTGCTCCCCTCGTTAAGACGCAGCAGAGCGTCTTAACGAGGTCAGGTCCTTCAATCTCAGGATCCGACCTGATGACCTCTGTCGCTGGACGGAGAGCCGAGGGACAATATGTCCCCTGTGGCATCCGGTCAGACAAAAAACAATTTTAAAGTCAATAAAAAGCAGTGAAAACGAAACCCAGAACCAAAACCCAAAGTGGCCTGCTGGCATCATTTCAGCGATCTCATCTTAAGATCCGTGTTGAAGCCAGACGTTCATATCAACACAAATTAGAAAAGCAACTTTCAACGACGCTGGTTCCTGAAATCATTCTTGTCAACCGCAGTTTCCTTCAAGAAAACACATTCTGTCAAAGTCACTTTGCATCAAAAAGACAAGAATACTGCTGCAAGTCAGGAAGAAGAAACCCAACCAACCAGGAACTGAATCATCAAAGAGAAGTTCAGCTAACGCATCGGGAGCCACCAGGAAAGAGCTTGATGAAAAGGTCAACAGGTCAAAGAGTTTCTGCATGGACAGCAGAGACAACAGAGACAGAAAACCGTCGTCCTTTAGGGAGCGGCGCAGGATCGGACTGCAGAGACCTGAGATGAAGCGTCTTAAAAGATCCTGATAATGAGAAGAAAAGCTGAGATCTGCCCTGAACGCATCCTGAGACCTTTCCTGTCTGGAGTTTGCTCACTATTCCACCTAATAGCATCAAAGTGAACAAAGACCAGGATCCAAACACAACCCACCACAAAATGAGCCCAGTGCTTCAGCCGCACGCTTCAGCAACACAAGACGGAGAAAAAATAATGAAATCAGATCCTTTGAATCATTGTTCCAACTTTAATTTACCATAACTCCTGAAAAAAGACAAAAAAACACTAAATGTATGTGAAAAAGGAGTTTGATGCGACACTCTGGCAACCAGACGTTTCTCACAACACAAACAATCGTCTCTGTTTTCATTTGTTACAGCCAGCAGGAGGTTTGCTTTGCATCTCATTTCCTTAACATGTCTGAGAACAACACACACTCCAGGCCATGGAAATATTTCACACACACACACACAGATAAACTCTCACACTGGGAAACAAGTTGATAGGAATAAAATGTGATTATTTGTTTCTGCGGCTCATTAGCTCCGTGTGCAGATGGAGCCGGTCAGGCAGCAAGTCCAGCCGCAGAAATCCTGCCGCCTTTTTCTTTTGTTTCCCTCAAGTTCCTGATTTCTGCTGGTTGAAACAATCTCAGCTGATCTTTCTGTTGCATGAAAACGTGGAATGAAAGCTTTAAACCTTGAACAACATTCAGAAACTTGTTGCTGTTCCTGCCTGCTCTGTTGGAGGTTTGTTCACTGACTTTCCTCCTGCAGTTTCTCTTATTTCTAATCACATCGTTAGCAATGAACAATTAATCTTCCTGATTAAAAGCTCACAAATCAAAGCATTACTCTGCACCTCATTACAACTCATTATCTGTGCTACATGCTACTGGTGCATATTTATACTTTGACTTGCAGCTCTTATAGTTTGGGTGCTAATTACTGAGTACTGGGATTTAGTTTAGCAGGTTCTAATCAATTTGTTTCACCTCCAAAAACAAATTTTATAAACTGTCGTCATGTTCAATGTTCAAAACACGTTTGAATCGTCTTTAGAGAAGTCAGACTACAGACGATCCTAAACATTTGGTCTTTAGAGACTTGAAATGGGGTTGATTAGACGATGTGTGATTAGGTGTGGGATGTGTAAATCACGCCGGTTCACGCTCAGATAAATAAAGCTGAGGTGAGATCGCCCGCCGCGTGCTGAAGCAGATGACTGGGTTCGCAGAGAGTTTGAGGTTCTGAGGTTCTGGTGGCGTTTTCTGAACATTTAAAGGTTTTCAGCCTGGTGACTTCACTCCTCTGCCCTTTCACGGATTCGGCTGGAGGCAGTGTAGGCCGATCACTTTGAATCTGAAGGCACTTTGTTTAAAATGAAATAGTTACACAACTAATTACAATTACTTACTCGGTAATTAATTTCTCTTCTAAATACAATATTAACTAATCTTTCCTAAAACCATGGAGCGACTAAAAGCAGCAATTATTAGTAATTACAGACGATGAAAGGAGGCATCAGCTGACTCAGGAAGTGAGATAACAGCCTGACATGTGGTGTACCACAGGGCTCAGTGTTTGAGCCCTGTGGTACACCAGGCCTCAATAATCAGGCACTTTTTCTGATGCGTCTTTTCACCTGTATGCTGATGACATTCAGCTCTTCTCAGATTTTAGGAAAACTGAATACTTAAAGTTTCTATTCTTGACAAAATGTATCAAACATACAAACTGTGGCTCTGTGAAAAACCACTTGCATGTGAACGATGAGACTGAAACTAATTATTGCCTCTGAGACCCGATTAACTCACATCGAGCATCGTCTTGGTTTATTGGGCTCTTATGACTCCATCCTGTCATTTTGGTGCCGTTCTCATGGATTAATCAGAAACATTGTAACGAGGTCATCGGGTCAGCAGCAGATCTGCCACAGAGCAACATCTAAAGAGCTTCCAGCTCTGCGGCAGCTGCAGCGTTTAGGCGGTTTTGACGGAGTTATAAATTGTGGCGTCTCACAAACAGTTATTTTTTAGTTGATGGGAAAATTACAACATATTTAAGCCAAAATGTTCAACCAACTCTGGTCCCTTTAAGGGCTGGTGAGTGGGAATGAAAGCCCAGGTTGTCTGTCCTCTGTATGTTCTGGTCAGGCCAGTTTTCTGACCACAGAGGCAGAACGGTCAGCAAACCAGCTTTCGCTACGTTTGGTCCAGTACCAACCGTCCTGGAAAATCAAATCAGCAACGCTGAGTTGTGAGTTTTTTCTGTAACGGTCCTTCCCTCCTCTCAGCTCTCTGTCAATTTGCTCAGATTGAGCGCTCAGTGCGCAGCCAGCATTTGTAACAATGACGCTTTGTGTCTCTCTATTATCTCTTAAATTAGAAAATCAGATCAAATTACTTGAAATTTCCTGCATCGTACAATAATCTAAACCCATGTCCCCAACCAACACTGTCCAGCGAAGTAGATTTTAATCCTATTTACTGTATAAAAACATTTTCTGTTGGTTTAACCTTTAAGGGAACGAATGCAGCCGGACAGTCGACAGAGAATCTATTTAATGCACATTTCTGTCGCCTTTTGTTGGTGCCTGCTTCGCTTCTTTGGCGGATTTTTCTTTAATCACATTTGATCTGATGCCATTATGATCCGACTTTGAAGTTCAAAGCGAGAAACGAACCGCAATTATAATCAATACAAAGACTGTGTTTCAGAGGTAATGACCACTGGTCTCCTCCTGCCAGCAGGAGTCAGCGGACCGACAGCTGCCGGTTCCCCGAGCCGCGTCCAGAAACCTCGACCCACATCTGCACACTAAGAGATCTGGAAACACACATATTCAAACTCACAAATACTTTATTTTAAATTCAATCACCATATGTGGAAGCATTAGTCCTGATACATGTTATCTATGATAAAACACTGATGTATGATTCATTTTCCTCTCACAAAATGCATCTGATTATCATTTTAAAGACCACAGGGAGTCACTTTTTATCTTTGTCTTACGTTTGTTGTTTTTTTGTTCATTAAAAATGAGCAATCGAGTTTGTTTGATCAAACAAAATCAGAAAAGTGGGGCTTACATATTTATAGAGAAAGATCTTTTCCTCTCATTTGTGTTTTTGGTTAACAAAATAAGTCAAACTGCGTCATCATGCAGCTTCGCTTGCAGTGAAACTTTGTCACCAACAGAGCAGAAATCTGCTTCATCTCTGCTGACAGAGTTTGATTTAAAATCAGCAGATCAGTCAGTCAAACGGCTCAAAGGTTTCATTCTTTCAAACACAAGAGAGCGAACATTTCTGTCACCAAACCACCACTTAATCAAATCCAACATGTTTTAGATTAGCTCAGAGACATTACACACACTTACATCAGTTTCCTTTAAAGCATCTCACTGCATGTAGACATAATTAATGAACATGGGGCCTTTAGTCCCAGGAGGAAATGAAAGAGTCTCTGCAATTCCAGGCATGCAGCATGAAAACTCACATCTGATGGGATTTTGCTTCAACTCTTAGAGGGAGAAACAGAAATGATCAAAGAAAATCTTCACATCTTGAACAGAAACTTTAGATTTTCTGAAGCTTTTCAAAACTTCAACTTCATGTAAACTCACCTTTAGTCAGAAACGCAATAAACTTAACCCAACATTGGACCTCTGACCGATCGGATCGTAACGTTTTGAGCCATTTTGCATCAAACTGCTGCTTGCCATGATTGGCAGGTTGATCACATTTTTAGTTTATTAGCTTCTTTGCTTCCTAATGCAGATTATTCACCAATTTGACTGCAGTCCATCAACAACAACTAAATTATTCCTCTAAACCAAACGTGACCTTAACAAGCTGTTAACTGTGATGCTAACACAGTTGCCTGTCATGACCTGTTACATCAAACCCAACAAAAACAGACACCCCGTTCCTAAAAACCCCTGAAAAGCCCATTCTGCCCCTAAAAACACCATTCTACCCCTAAAAACCCCATTCTGCCCCTAAAAGCCCCATTCTGCTCCTAAAAACCCATTCTGCCCCTAAAAACCCCATTCTGCCCCTAAAAGCCCCATTCTGCTCCTAAAAACCCATTCTGCCCTAAGAGCCCCATTCTGCCCCTAAAAGCCCCATTCTGCCCCTAAAAAACCCATTCTGCTGCTCCTGTCTCATGTATTTCTATCATTTTTACATCCAGATAGAAATAAAACGATGACTGACAAGCAGCTAATTTTTGTGAACTGTGTGTGTGTGTGTGTGTGTGTGTGTGTGTGTGTGTGTGTGTGTTGTGTTTGTGTGTGTGTGTGTGTGTGTGTGTGTGTGTGTGTGTGAACATACCGACGGCCAAATTAGCGATGAAGAAGTTGGTGACGGTGCGCAGCGTCTTGAAGCGATAGATGACGTAGATGACCAGCGAGTTTCCCAGGACGCCCAGCCCGATGATGGTGCTGTAGGCCAAGATCAGCACCACCTTCAAACAAACCAGAGCAGCAGCTGTCAGACGCATTCACGCTGATGTGAAGTGAAATGTGACCTTTGACCTTTCCTTTGCTCCAATTAAAGGTCGGGGCAGTTCTGGGAATGGACCCGTACCTGAACGCTCAGCAGTCTGATGGGGTCTTCTGGAAAATTCACTCCCTCGAATCCGGCCGGCAGCACCGGGGGCAGGATGCCGATGTTTGGGGGGTAGTCATGATAACCGAGGTTGTTGGGGTCGCTGTCAGGCGGGGGCAGGAAGTGGAGCTCCTCCTGCGTGGCGTTGACTTCACCCAAAGCCTCCATGTCCGGTCACACGCGTCCGGCCAGCAGCTCCATGTCACTGCAGCTCGCTGCGCCTGCTGGACGGAGGAGGAGGAGGAGATAAATGACGGGTAAACGGCTCTATTTGCAGCCCAGCCTCCGATCGGGGTAATTACTGATGAAGGGTACTCTCAGAGTTTTCAAGAGGCACTTGGGAGAATTTGTTCAGCTCGGCTGTATTTGTGGCTGGTTATGAAAAAGACTCGGTTGCCGCTGATGCTCATTGCATCTGGAGAGGAAAACCACACGACTCTCTGCATGCAGATGGTTCTGAGCTGAAGTGGATCATAATTAGTGACGGCAGAATCAGGCGACTGACAGCGACAGGAGCCTCTTCCTGGATTAAATACTCCACTAAATTACCAACCGATTCACACTTCACACCGAGGAGGTTCAGAAAACAGCACTGCACTTTTTAATTTGTCCTTTCGGTCCAGTCTGCGATCATTACTGTCTGCTTTTATATTCATATCTTTGTTTGCAGCTCTTCTCATCTCAGTGTGTGACTCAAAACATCATCTTACTAATAAATGAACTCTGATCTGCATGATGATTAAATCAGATTAACATGCATCCAGTTCAGTTCAGAACATTTTACTAAACATTTCATGTCTCTGGTTAAAATTTCCTTTTACTGTCTTCCTTTCAGGAATAATTTCCATCATTTTTGCATTTTTTTTTTAAAATGATTCATCTGGATTCGATCCAGCAGTAAATCAAACCTTCAGCTTTAACCCATCACTGCCTGCAAGAATCAATTTATGAACAACTACCGGTAAAAAACACATATGATAAACATAAATGTAGGTGTTTAGTATGCAAATAGCAAATTTCAGTATAAGTTGTCAGCAGAACTGCTTCATGCTGGTCGTTGGTGTGAGGAATATATTAAAGCAGTAAAACACGGATAAAAGAATGAATTTTATTAAAACATTTTCAGTTTTTTGTTTATAACTGATTCCAGAATGTGAAACATTTTTATTACATTAACTAATCAGACACAGAATTAAATGTTGTCAATTTGAATAAAAATCCAAATTCTGTGAAAAATATAGAAAGGTGAGTGGAAGGAGAAAGTGTCGCGGCATATCTATGTTTGTACTGAATGAAAACCATTATCACCAAGCACAACTCTTTGCTTCAAATTAGTCGGATGGTTATTTATCGCTGATCTGATCAGATTATGTGCAGGTTGTTCCTCTCCGTCATCATTTCAGCAACGAAAACGAGAAATCCTGATTTAGAGTGAGCGTTCTCCGTCTCATCTACACTTCCAGATCGCAGATTATCTGCTGAGGTCGTGTGAGCGATAATCTGACGTTCCATGTTGCTTTCTAGGTCAACGGATTAAGAACAAAACAGGTAGATTTGACCTGTTTTATTGTCCACGTGCATCGGAAATATAAACAAGAGATGGGTTTCATGTTTAAAAACCAGCAACAGAACTGGCTTGACATTCCAGTCAATAATCTGTTACTGCCGAATAAATCTGAAGGATTATTGAACCGAAGCTTCAGAGTTCAGCCGTTTGTGAAACATAAAACCTCATTGTTCTGGGACAAGCTGTTTTAGGGCTTCTGTAACTTTAAATAAGCTTCATTCAACGCTTACGCTCGCACGTGAAAATGGCTGCAAACCACAAATATACCACTGTGCACTTGGAAAAGCAGAAGTGGAGCCTCCTGCACAACCAGCCAGAATGCAGAAAGTGGTTTCTGGACGGTAAGTCAACAACATGACACTTTGTCTTTTGCAGCAGCCATTGTACAGAGAATACAACTGTGACACCAGCTGATCAAATGTGCTGGAGCTCAGCTTGGGTTGCTAGGTAACGATGAGCTCAGCTGGGGTTGCTAGGTAACAGGGACGTGCCTGCTCATTTGTGACGTTTCATTTTCAGGACCCCAGAAAATAAAAAGTAACTGCCAAAAACCCGCCGGGTGTTTTTTATTTTTTCTAGCAGAAAAGATTTTAATGGAAGCAGAAACAAGCAAAACGTGAATTTTTCCTTAAAACCTGAGGATAAATTCATCAGCTACAAAAACACGAAGCACACAGCCAAGTTCACGCCAAATTAGCTTCAGGGCAACAGAGTCAACGCTTTGGAGGAAACAGCATTCGGTTTTCTCCAGGCGAAGTCGGCCTGTTATTGATTGATCAGTCTGATATTGATTGATCAGTCTGATATTGATCGATCAGTCTGATATTGATCGATCAGTCTGATATTGAAAAGCGGAGCTGCAGCCGCTCTGTGCCGAGTTCAGCTACACGTCTTCGTTAAGTGACTGTGAACGCTGGAAACTGGCTTTAAACTCTGCAGCTCAGCGGCGCCCGGCGGCGTCTCAGCGGATCTTTGAGACTCGATGAGGCAGAGCAACAGCAGATGGCGGCCATACTGGGCTGCTCCCCCCAGGCTGCTAACAAAGAAAACACAAACAAGGCGTTAAATAAGCTTCTACTGACGATCCGCCTGGAGGCAGGGGGAAAGATGCCGCCAAGATCTGGAGGATTTACTCAGCAAACACAGAAACCGTTAACGAGTGAACTCTGCAGCTGAAGATTAACGTCCAACGAATCACGGAGCAAAGAGAGAGACTGCAGCTCCACGTGAGGATCTGATGCTCAGGGGGCTTCAGAGGGAAAGTAGCAGCCAAAAGCAGGTCTGGACTGCTCAAAGACGGAAAGACAGGAATACATCTGATAGTCGGTAATAAGCAACTGCCATCCATCAATCTGGAAACAAGTTGGGCAGGAAACAGTTTCAGGAAGTCATGGTTTTGTCCCGACCTCAGGCTGACAGAACATTTGTGGGCGGAGCTAAAATGTAACAAACCTGATTCTGTTGCAGCAGTTCATGTCAAAATGTCTGTTTGGAGAAGTTAGAAATCCAACATCATTTAAACGCTGGTTCAACCAAATGTTAAGAATAAAACAAAGTTTTCACATCCTGCATTACTGTGCCTTTAGTGGTCAACAAGATTGTCGCTAATCGCAATAATTTCCAGGATAATTGATCATCCAGTAGATTCTGTAATTGTATCAAACCAATATTCTAATAATATCTAATTATTAGTGACATCCAGTTTTCACTCAGCGGTTTGCAGCGTTGGATCAGACAAGACATGACAATTTTTTTTTTTTTTTAAAAAGACATTTTAACTGATCCTCCTTTACATCTCTTTAGTTTTTCAAATCTAATCTTTAATCAGAATCAACCATCTTGAATCAGCTGTATGTAAACTTCTGGATCTGAATATTTTTATTGTTTTAAATCTTTATTTAACCAGATAAAAACTCAATGCCATCAACACTTCTTTCATAAGAGTGAACTGGCCAAAATAATAATAATAATAATAATAATAATAATAATAATAATAATAATAATAATAATAATAATAATAATAATAATAATAATAATAATAATAATAATGATAAGTAGACAAAAACAGACATTAGAAATACATAAAATGTGAAACATTTGTAAATGTTTCTTCTTAAATAAATCAGGTCTGTAGTTACATAAAGGATTTTTCATGCTGGGAAGTAAAGCAGATGAAATGTTGGTCCTGGACGGGTCGGAGTTCTGACCCGCTGCAGCAGAACCAACTGGCCTCTTCAGACAGTTTGTTAATCTGCAGGTTACAGGTGGGAGCAAAGCTTTTAACAGTCGCCTGCACGTACAGATGTGACCTCTCTGATTGGCTGCTGCGCAGTGGAGGCCAGATAAGGCCTCCACACACACACACACACCCACACACACACACACACACACACCCACCCACACCCACCCACACACACACACACACACACACACACACACACACACACACACACACACACACACACACACACACGCAGGGCATCATTAAGATGAATGCGGCCGCGCTGGGAGGCGAGCCCACGTGGGACTAACCCTCCCATCCAGCCGCTTCACTGAGCAAGTTGTCTGAGGGCGTTCGGCTCGGCTGACGGATCAGCTGCGCCCAAATCACCACGAAAAGCAGCAAAGACACTTTTACAGGCTTTCTGTCTTAAAATAGAAACTGAAAAAATAAAACATCCTCCTACGTCTGGAGACAAGTTCAGGTTTTACTGGGTTTTCAATAACCGGGTTTTTATTTTAATTAGTTAAAACATAAACAAAAACAACATGTGATTATTTATATTAGAGATTTTAGAGCCGAAACAGAACCAAAACCGTCTGGTCGGGCGCAGTAACTGGGTTTCACCTTAAACTGTTAGAAACATTTATTCTCATGGTTAATATTAGGATTAGATCATTTTTTATCATATCATCAACAATTTCTTGTCTTGATAAGAAATTAGATTTATTATTGTCACAATAAATTTCAGTTAGTGTAAAAAAAAACTCACTGAAATGTTATTTTTTTCTATTAATGATGACATGATTTAAATAAATTATTAAGTATTTATATAAATAATTATAAATGCTGTTACATAGTTACCTAAACAGAAGTAATCAATAGATTTTTGATTATTTTTAATGACTTAAACATGTGGTTCACCTCACTAAGCCTAATTATGCAGCTACTTGACGCTCAGATTATCCAATAATGATTCAAGTTTGTGAAATGTGACTCAGTCGTTTGTGTGAGAATAAAAACTAGAATCAGATGCAGAAACATTGAGCTGCAAGCAGCTGTCAGACCTTCAGCTTTTAATGTTTCAAACCGTTTGTTTCTTTTCAGAATCAGATATTTTCCATTCTGCCATCAGCTGCTTCCACCAGCAGAGCCCCAGTTCTCCCAGTTTGACCTGAACTCAGGCTGACGCTTCGCTCGGTGGCAGCTTGGCCTCCTGAGTCGCTTCTTTCGGAACCATCTTCTTTTTTTTCTGCTGCAGACATTAAAGCTGCAGAATCACAGCCTGACGTTTGAGCTTCATGTTCTGCGTCTTACAAACCGTCTGAGAGCAGCGGAGATTCAAACCCAAGAGTCCAGGAAGGCGGGGGGGTTGAAGTCAACCTGACGCTCCTACGGCTCAGAATAAAAGACTTTCACTGCTGTGTGGGTCACAG